GCACCTTTGCAGGGAGCTGAGCCAGCCCCCCCCCCCAAGCAGCCCAGGGCTGGGGCCTCTGCCCTGTGGAAAGCTCTGAGAAACTGTCTTGGTCTGTGGTGTGTAGCCAGCTGATTTCCCCATAGCGCCTGATTGGGGCATGCTCTGGGCTGGGAAAAGGCTCAGCTTGTCTAAAATGGCCACCTGCCTTATGACCTAGGGTTGGCCCCGGTGCTGCGCACCTCTGGGCTCTCCTCAGCCAGCCAGGTCTGCTCCTGAATCTGCTGCTTGCTCTCCTGGGCCCCAGGGATGGGGACAGGTGGAGCTGGAGACAGTTAATCCGGCCGCAGCATCTGTGGGGCAGCCTGGGGATGCCGGTGTGCTGAGGTGGAGCAGCACGTGCCGTGGGCTGTCCCGGCCAGTGCACCTGGCTGTCTGCACAGTTAGGACGGGGCAGGATGCAGCCTGCCTTGTCTCCCGGCTGGGTGGTCTGGCGGTTAGCAAAAAGTGCTCCTTGATGAGCCGTCTGTGGTATAAGCTGCATATAGAGGACCCATGGCACATATAGGACCCATGCCCACCTTACAGAGCAGATCTGTGCTCCTGCATGGGGCAGAGCAGACCTGGTGGGTCACTAAAGCCACCGTTAGGGCTGTGGGGCTGCCTCCCCGGTCCCAGCCTCTGCCTGCGAGCAGCTGGGAGTTTGGGGTGCTGGCTGAGGCCCCCTGCTCTGGCACGCGTTTCCTCGCTGCCGTACAAATGGGCCACCTGCCCTGTACAGGTGATGAGGCAGTGGGCTCCGGGCACTTGATATTTGCTGCATTTTCATACCTGTTGCTCGGGAAGTGGAACAGAGTCCTTGAACGCTCCTCTGTCGCATGGTGTGTGCACTGGAGGGGCTGCTCCAAGGGCACCTGTGTTCCCCCATCCCTTCAGGTAACTTGGCAAGCTGGTACCTGCAAAAACAAGTTTTACACTTGAGTGCCTTACATCCAGCAGGCAGGTTTGCCTGCGTTCCAATAGAGAGATCTCCTCTTAAACCATGCTTTTTTGCACTCTCTGAGCAGTATGTGCTGTGTCTGTGGACTCACTGGATGTTGTTCTGGTCCCTGCAGGTTGAGACTCTGAACAAGGCCATCTTCCCACGCGGCAATGGCACCCACGCTTGCTACCGCCCATCGCCGGCGCTGGTGGATGGCATTCACAGCCATCTTTGAGAACCTGCTCTTCTCTGCTGTCCTGCTGGGCTGGGGGTCCCTCCTCATCATGCTGAAAGCAGAAGGGTTTTATTCCTACCTGTGCCACGAGTCGGGTAAGGATGCTCTGGAGACTTATGTGAGTAAGTTGCTGCTGAGGTTTGCTGGTACGGTTCCCTGTCCTAGGGTGGTGTGGAACTGGCTAGAGTAGGGCTGAGCTGCAGGTCAGTCCTGGGGTAGAAGGAAGGGATATGCGCTCCTTTCCAAAACCGATGGCGTCCTCGTGATGGTGTTAATGTGCCTGTAGCTGTTGTTGCTTTGCAGAGTGATTAGAAAAGAAGCCTTAAAGATTAGGTACAGCTTTTCTGGACAGCCTTTTCCACTTGGCCATGAGTTCTTCCGCTGCGTGGTGGTCTGGCTGATCTCTGCAAGGGAAGGCCTGATGGGTTCTGGAAGATAATGATTTGTGAGGAGGGTGTCATGAGTTTGTAGGAGGAAACTATGGGCGCCCTTTCCTTAGCGGTAGGAAAGAAAAGAACATGGGTGAAAATGAGACTGGGGGAGTCCAGTGCTGCTGTTGAGAAGTTGCGGAAGTAAATGCTACTGATGCTACTCTCCCTCTTCAAACACCTGGGAACGTGCTCAAACCAGGCTGTGTCTCTGAGGGCTTGAGATCCACCTTCTGGCCCAGCCAGAGGAAGCGGTTGTCCGTGTTGCAGACACAGCCTTGCAGGGAAGGAGGCAATCTTGTGGTGTGGGAAGGATAACCCTGGGAAGAACAACATGTTGGTGGACATATATCCCCAGCCTGGGCACGGAGAGGATTGTGGCCTGGGGAGTCCCACAGTGTGGTAGGGTGGACAGCGGAGTTAAAAGGAACCTGAAGGTAAAGGTGTGGTGTGGATTTGGAAAGTTGCTTTAATGACAGAAGGTTTGCATGTGCTCAGAGAAGGGAATGGAAGAGTGAAGAGAGGCAGGAGCTACGTGTTTGGGCTCTGTCCAGAGATGCATGATGGTGGATGAGATGAGAAGGTGGATCAGCCCATTCAGGGCTGGTGAGCATGGAGATGGAGCAGGAAGCAGTAGGGGAAGAAAGAGGTGGAAATAAGAGCATGGACCCCAGAGCTCTCAGTGGGTAATGGCTGAGAATAGCGGGGGAAGTCTGAAATGTGGGGAAACAAAGTCCAAGCAAAAAGTCACTGTGAATAG